ATACTTCATAAATGACAGGTTTGCTTTGAAGATAATATTATACACTTTTAATAACAGGCAATTTGGACATCTTTCTTAAACGGTACATGCTACACACTGTGTTTCTGCTATTAAACATATTCTAAATCAGTAATCAAATTGCAAAGAAAAATAATTTATTCATTCTTCAATCCAGCACATAAATATTTATCTAGGACTCTCATACTGTTTTATTATGTATGCTGTTGAGAATAATTTTACTGAAGAAAGTAATAGAATAATAGTGTAAAACCTTAGTGTCACAGACTAATTGTGGAAAGGATAATTTGAAATTATGAAACCTTAAGTTCAGTATTGCAAAAGCAGTTTTATTAATTGCAGGTTCATGCAACAATTCAAAATGAGTTTGTCCACTACAGAAATGGAGAAAAGCTGCTTTAATTAACAGATAAGCATAGAGTATAATTTGCATGTCAACTTTTTGTGTGTAAATGAATGTTTCCAAGGTACTGAAAGTATTTATTCTTCTCACTTTAGAAGCTCTGACATTTTCTGAATAATCTTGTTAGAGCATTAATTTACTTTACAGTTTCCTTTCAAACTTCAGGGTATCTGTGTGAACTGTCAACAATCCTCTTTTCATGGACCCCAATTAATTTATTTTCTGAGATTTTCATTTACATAATGTCTGATTTTCTAATGTTCCTATTAAATTTAATGCTATGTGTTTTGAGATAATTTCAAGTACCATGTATATTCCCAGAAAAAAATTAACATCAGTGGAAATATTCACGTGTACGTGTTAAGGAAGAACAACAGCTTGACAGAATCAATTATACTAAGACTAGTTAGCAACCCAGCAAATCTTTTAAACTAAAGGAGAGATTTTAGATTGTATTATGCAGATGTGGAGGTCAGAATCCATAAGAAAAACATATAAATATGTATGTAAAATTCTGTGCGTGTGTGTGTGTGTGTGTGTGTGTGTGTGTGGGTGTGCCATCCTGCTCGCCCCCAACACATATACATACGCACAAACAAATTTGTTTACACAGCCTTTCCAAAGAAAGAATTGAGAAAATTTGGGACTTAAATTGCTCTCAGGACTTTCTGTTCATTTTTGTAACTTTCCTCATTTTTTTCAAACCTGCAACAGACAAGCAAAAACTAAATAAAAACCCTCTAAAAACTAACAAGTCATGTATCATAGAATGTACTAACATACATCCCTCCAGGTAGCAAATAATGCATTCAATGTTGTCATCTCTGTTTCTACTTTCCAACAATGGGTACCATTAGTTACCTATGTTGATATGCTGCTCTCCCTTACTGGTTAAATTTCAACATAGAATAAAAATATCCTTAAGTATGACGAGATTGATTAGAACTTTATTATAAGAAATTTTATTGATATGTAGTTTGTCTCCAAACTCATGTATGAAATGCATAAATCATCATTTATGTCATTTATGCCAACAAATATGTTATTATCAAGATAGGGTAATGAGCTATGTTACTAAGGACACACTTCTTAGCAAGACAATTCTCTTTAGGACATAAACTTCTGTTTAGGAAGGTACCAAAAAACAAAAAGGCAGTCAGGATATAAAGGGTCAAAATTGCAGAGAGCTATAGCAACAAAAGTTGAATTAGCGATTGCTTAGGATTGGGGGCTAGGGGATAAAGGGACAATGCTTAAAGGGTGTAGGGTTTCCTTTTGGGGTAATGAAATGTTTTAAAATTGACTGTGGTGATGAGTGCACAACTCTGTTAATATAGTAAAAGCTTTTAAAAAAATAATAACAGATCCCAGAGAAAAAGAGAAATACTTTGACACTGTCATTACATTCACTCCTGTTTTTCCCCCAAGGCTGACTCTTGTGTGTGAAGAGTATGCCCAAGCAAAGCAGTAGCCAAGTAAATAGTGGTGCTGCCTCACAGGTACGTGGTCCCATAGGGGTCCCAAATCAAAGTTCCCAGGCCTACTAGCCAATGACTGATTTTGGAGAAAAGGGGCCATAGAAAAGAGAGACATACATTCTGTGTGCAAATTATTCTTTAAACATTGTATAACTGTAAAGCTGGGCAATATTCTAAAGGGAGTAAAAACACATAAAGCTATTGAAAAGAGCTTACATACTTACCAGACAGCCTGGCTGGTGTGGATTAAGTGGTTGAGTATTGAACCATGCACCAAGAGGGCACTGGTTTGATTCCCAGTCAGGGCACTTGCCCAGGTTGCAGGCTCTATCCCACATAGGGGGCTGTGTAGGAGGCAGGCAATCAATGTTTCTATTTTTCTCTCCCTATCCTTTACTTTCACTCTAGAAAAATCAATTAAAACAAAACAAAACTCCTTAGCAGATAATTTAGCAAGCTCATAGTTTGGGGAAGGCAAGTTCCTATGAAGGTGAAGCATTTCAACTAAGATGTCAAACATGGTATCCTCCAAAATTCATGGTAACCAGAACTATGGATCCGTTAGAATAGGCCTTATCTGTGATGCAGCGATTGATGAGTAAAACGAGGAAGGAATGCGGCTTCTGGGACACTGGTTATGTTCTATATCTTAATAATACATGTGGTGGTTACAGGTGTGCATTCACTTTGCAAACATTCATGGAATGATTATAGTTAAGATTTGTACACTTCACTGTATGTTACACTTTATTAAAAATAAAATACCAAAAATGGTGTTATTAATATCAGATTGTTGAAACTCCTAATAAGCTGTAAACTTGTGTGTATAATAGGAGTGGTGGTGGAGAGAGGGCAAGGGTGAAGGTAGCAGTGGAACAACAGGACAATGACAAGACCAAAAAATAATAATAAGCACTAGCCACTGGCATAACAGATGGGAGAGGAAGAGAGAGAATATACATGCACCTTCCAATCTTTTGAAGGAGATGCTATAATTATTGTGGTTGATATAGAAGGGAAGAGCTCAGTGGGCTTAGTTACTTGCCTAAAATTACAGATAATTATATAATAGAAATGGGGCTGGAACCTAGGTAAGATTAGTGACCCCATACTTTTTAATTGCATAAGAAATTACTTAGATTTTAAAAAATCTCAGGAGATGGGATAGGAAATAGTAAAGAAGGTAAAAAATATGCTGAACAGAAGATGATTTAACTTTGGTTAGTAGGCACACAAAGCAATATACAGATCATGCTTTACAGAAATGTACACTGAAGACTATATGATCCATTAACAAATATCATCCTAATAAATTTAATTTTAAAAATTAAAAAATAAAATGTCTCATTTTGAAAGGAAGATCATCTTGTGCTAAAGAACAGATTTTCAGAGTTTTGTTTGCAATAATAATAATAATAATAATAATAATATAACTTCACCTTCATAGATAAACCAACAGAGGAAAATATTTAGAGGCCATATTATTGACTAGTTACTAAAAATTGGATGTTCCTGGTGATCCTGATTGTTTTACACTGATAGCCTTTTTTTTTTTTTTAATATATTTTATTGATTTTTTACAGAGAGGAAGAGAGAGGAATAGAGAGTTAGAAACACCGATGAGAGAGAAACACTGATCAGCTGCCTCTTGCACACCCCTTACTGGGGATGTGTCCATAACCAAGGTACATGCCCTTGATCAGAATCAAACCTGGGACCTTTCAGTCCACAGACCGACGCTCTACAGCTGAGCCAAACCAGTTTCAGCTACACTGATAGCTTTTGCTCAGGACATTACTATTCTACTCCATGATGGAATTATTAGGTGTCAGAATTCTCAATGTCAGTGAGGCCTTTGTAACTTTAAAAAAATTGAAAAATAATAGGCCATGTCTACCAAAGGTAGTAATGGTATTGGAATACTATTTCCTATATCCCCAAATTTCCCCAACACAAAGAGCCATGCACTTTGTTTGCAAATCATTCCATTTTATTCTTAAAAGATTTGGAACTGCTAGACTTGAACCAAAAGACCCTTCATTATTTTATCATGGCATTTTACAAAGAAAAATGTTTGCTTAAGGTAGGGTTATCATATTCATATTTACATATCAGATTAATCTTTTTTGTTTGCGAAAGGATAGACTCTGTGATCCCTAAATCAAGAAAATGTTTTCTTGATTGAATTGATCTCCAGCATTGATATTTCTCCCATTCCTCCTGAAGCTTTTATAGGATGTATTTCACTGCGGGTCAGACCTTCTGCTATGGATCTGCTGACTTGTTCCCTACCTTAATTTGATGGGCAAAGGCTTTTTATGCGACTCACACAAACACATAATTTGGTGAAGAGTGTAGTGGAATAAAAGCTTACAGACACCATAGCCAACAAAGCCAATGCTTATGCAACACACACACACACACACACACACACACACACACACACAATCACTCCAAAGATGCACAGTACTTTCCCATTTCAAAGCAAAGATGAAAAATAAACATCCTTCTCAATTCTAGGCTCTTACACAGAGCCTCCGAACAAAAATGCCTCACAAGTATTATCCTTAGATATACTGCATTGTATTCTGAGTCTCATCCCTTGACTCTGACTCTACAGTACTTTGATTTCCTAGCCACAAATCTGGGGTGTCTGTCCTGCTCAGAGCTAGGTTCTTTCACAGTAGGATTTCTTAACTTCACAACTATTGAAATTTTTAACTATATGACTATTTCTTGCTGGAGGATGTCTGGTTCATTGTAAGATGCTGAACAACATCTTTAGCCCTCTGCCCACTATATGCCAGCATCACCACTCCCTTTATACGCAGTTTTGGCATCTGAAAATGTTTACAGACGTTGCCAACAGTCCCTAGGAGGCAAAATGTTTCCCAGTTGACAACCACTGCCCTGCATACAATATGGTAACTAACTACAGAAATGCAGAGGAAGAAGAAAGAGAACATTTCTGATGAGTTTTTTAAGATGACTAAAGCTTTCTTTATATCTAGATGATTTAGGCAGTTTTTTTTTATTTATAAGAAAGGTAGCACCTCCAGCACCCTATCCGTGATTTCAGGTCTGATCTGCTGCCATTGGCTTCACTCTACCTTTCTCTTCTGTTGGAGGTCGGAGCGTAATAATTTCAGTTTCTTTTGAATCTCAGTCAGAATACCTATTTTCTGCTCCAAAGTGGACAGTAACTGGACAATGCACACGTGAACGTCATAGTTTACCCCGCCAGCTGGCTCCTGGATGGTGTCCCCTGGCCCCTGGCTGGGTTCCTCACAGGAAGTCATGGTTTCCTCCGCTGACGGAGTCGCTGAAGTTTCCATTTCTCTGGTCTCTCCCTCCTTCTCAGTCTGTGTAGGCTGGGGTGTTTTCATACATTCAAACCTCTGAAGGGACATTTCTGAATTTCTGACGTGATTTTCCAACATCCTTGGCACCTCTTGGTCAACCGCAGAGAGCGCCCGCTGGGGGGGCCTGAAGTCCAGAGTCAGCTCTTTCACGCGGTTTGCGTATCTCAACGTGTTGAGGGTGTTCTCGCAGGAGGACATCCCCGGAGAGATGGTAGCGATCATGCAGGTGGAGGAGTTCTGCCCGATGAAGGAGTCGCGGAGCACCTGGGTGAGCTTGCTGGCCCGGAATGGGGTGTGCGCCTTGCTCTGGCCCAGCGCGCGGATGCACTCCTTGAGCGCCAGGAGGCTCTTGTTGATGTCCGCCCCTTCCAGCTGCCTCTTCCTGTTGGCCTTGGCCGTATCCGCTCCCCTCTCGTTCCCGGCTAAGTCCACGAGAGAAAACTTGCCGTGCAGGGTGCCCCGGGACTTGAGGATGATCTGGAGCACGGCGTGGCTCCTGGAAGAGTGGGCATTGACGGACGTCTGTCCGGATGTCCTGCAGCCGTTCCCGCGCTCCACCAGGCTCAGCAGGTCCTCCACGCAGCGCACCTCCCGCTCCTGCAGCCCCACCACGTGCACCTGCTGGCTGCCGTCCTCCAGCACCTGCAGCTGCTTCTTGCAGTTGAGTAAGTCGAACACCTTGCCCCCGTAGATCTCGAAAAACGTGCCGTAGACGTGGAGGTCGAGCTTGGCATAGGCCGCGGCGTGCAGCAGGCGGAAGACATCCTCTGCTGCCAGGGCGTAAATGCCCTTGGAACCGTCCTGGGCCTTCCCCGAGAAGGAGCCGCCCATCGTGTGCGTCTTCCCGCTGCCCGTCTGCCCGTAGGCGAAGCAGGTGGCCATGCCCCCGCCGAAGATCGACTCCACCAGCGGCTGGGCCGCGAACTGGTACACCAGCTCGTTGGAGGCCTGGTCGTCGAAGGCGCGGTCGAAGCGGAAGGCCTGGTTCTCCAGGTAGCGGGTGAGGTCCACCTTCTGCTTGGCCTCGTGCACCAGCACCACGCGGTCCGAGGGGATGGTGATGATGTCCAGGTCCTTCAGGAGGGCCTCTTGCGGGCTGAGGGGCCGCTTCCGCACGCAGACGCAGATGCGGCGGTCCCCCCGTGGCGGCGGGCCCTGGGACACCTCGCGGGGGCCCAGCTGGCCGCGGTACTCCTCAATCATGTGCGCGATCTCGAAGTTGGGGTTCCCCGTGTGCCCATCCAGGGCGCGCTGGGCCCGGATCTCCACCTGCACCTGCCGCCGGGTCTCCCGCTGCTTCTGCAGCTTCTCAATGCCCCGGAGGCAGGGGGACTTCTTCCACTTCACCACACAAGGGGTGCCGGGGACTTTCACCACCAGGCTGTCCCCCCCGGGGGGCGTCTCGTTTTGGGGGGGGATCCTTGCAAACCACCGCGCAGCCACACGCTGGTCCCCGATGGCCGGAGAGGGCGCCAGAGACAAGGAGGACAGCGACCTGGACCGCGTGGCCTGCTCCGCGGAGGCCAGCGCAGGATTCAGGAGGAAGATGGTCTCCAGGTCAATCTTCTTGCCCTTTTTGACTCCTTCTTCCACCCACTCTACCGTGACCCACGTGTTCTCACGTTTGAACTCCGTGACGACGGCGAGGTGAATGCGCCCGTCGCTGCGCTGGATGGCCACGCGGACGCCCGCCTGGACGTCCCGGCGGGGGGCCATCAGGGGTTTCCAGGACGAGAGGCGCCGGACGGCAGCGGGGAGGCACAGCTGACTGGCCATCGTGGAGGATGGAGGTGTCAGGACTCGCGTCTGGGGGCCCTTGGGGTTGGAGCATCAGGACCGGAGCCCAAGCCAGTCTGAAGTGGCCCCGGCACTGAGCACGCCTGCTTTTGCATCTGCCTTTGTGACCTGACCCCCCCCCGCGTCACAAAGAAGTGGGGAGAAGGGCCGAGGGCCTCCAGGTGAAAGGTGGATGGAAAAAGAAAAATCACATCTGTGGTGCCAGGTGCCAACGCCAAGGCAGCTGGGAGAGAGGCATTGCTCTCCGCCACTGGGAGCGCAGCGATTGGAATTGGGTGCACGTTCCATGGGCATGTGTGCCTAAGCTTTAGAAACATACTCCTTCTGAAGTCTTAACCTGTCCTCTCAAAGGCAAGGGCTTTAGTTGAGAAAAAGGTGAGCGTTCCCTTAAACTTGAACTCCCCAGCGATCGGAGGGAACAAGTGAAGGTGAAGCTATTGGCACATCACAGGCTTCAGCTGACTTTCTGGAGAACACACCCTCCGGCATGCCATCCTCCCCCTCACCCCGCCTCCGGACTTGTTTATGGTGGTAACTTAATGTCCAATGTCCAACGGCTTTCTAAGTAGAAAAGTAAAATGAGTTGGATGCAGTGGGTTCTTCTGATAATTGGTTAATACTAAGAGACTTCCTTTGGTACATCTGGGTTTTCAAACACAAGCTCTTTATCACATGGGCTCTGACAGCCATAAAGTGAGTCTTGTTGCACCCACAGAAGCCAAAACAGGTCTTTGTCTTCCTCCTCCTCCTTGCCCTCCTCCTTCTCCTCCTCCTTTTTCTCCTTCTCCTTCCCCTACCTGCCCCTCCTCCTCCTCCTCCAATCTTAATCTGGAGTTAGGTAGCCATTTCCCAGCCCCTGGATGTCTTCTGTAACTGTGCCATCTTTTAATCTCCTAACCAGTGATGACATCGTTTCCTTAGGTAACCTCATCCTGTCAGGGGCTCCGTCTGTTTCAGGCGTTGTTTTAACAGGTCATTTCTTATTAATCTCCTGCTTACAAACGTGTCAGTAGCTCTCTATCATTCTAATGGACTCAGCACAAACCCCATTAGAGGCCACATGATGCATCGGGACCTCTTTCCTGTTTTCATCTTTTCATCCTTTCCCACCATCCTTACTCAGTCTAAAGTGGAGCCATACTGAAGACCTTGAGGTCCTTCAAACTCAGCATTTTTCTCTCAAATGACTGATTTTTAGCCCAGTGCTTCTCCGTTTTGGGGTGTATAACATTCACCTACGGGGCTTGTTGAAACACACATTGCTGGGCCCCACCCTTTCTGATTCCCCTGAGTATGAGGCAGGGTTCGCTTGCAACAACTTCCCAAGTGATGCTGATGATGCTGGCTCTGGGAGCACATGCTGAGAATTCCGGTGCTAGCCCTCTGAGCACAATAGCCCCGCCTTCCCTGCTCATTTTCCTGAGCTCTTCAATACTAATCTCAAATGGCACTGCCTCTGGGAAGGATTCTCTGTTGATAATGATCAGGCAGAATGCCCTTAAACAGAGACATCTCTTCCTAAGAAATAGTATCTATTACTAGTTGGATTTGTTTGGTCAGGGGAACCTATAGCCTTCATTTTCAGTAGTGACTATTAAAATAAATCCCATAAGTTAACATGATAATATTCTGTTTGAAGAAAGTCATTGAGCTATTTTTACAGTTTTGATAATCTGGAACTTCATTTGCAATAATATCTTCTTTTTTATCTACTGAGACAAATTCAGAATTCAGACATCCTCTACATAATGCTCTCGTTTTATGGATAAGAAAATATTGTGAGACGAAACCGGTTTGGCTCAGTGGATGGAGCGTCGGCCTGCGGACTGAAAGGTCCTAGGTTCGATTCTGGTCAAGGGTATGTATCTTCGTTGCCGGCACATCCTCAGTAGGGGGTGTGCAAGAGGCAGCTGATCGATGATTCTCTCTCATCAATGTTTCTAACTCTCTGTCCCTCTCTCTTCCTCTCTATGAAAAATCAATAAAATATATTATAAAAAATACTGTGAATATTTAGTAATACGATAAATATATCTTGGTGTGAAGACCTCAGTACAAATGATGGCATCATTCTTGGCCATGACCTGGGTGGCCATTGAGTAGATGAGCAGTTTCTCTAGATTTGAGATGGACACTATCTATTTTTTGAGTAATTATAACCAAGCAAAAAGAACATACAAAATGCTTACCATATGTTATTTCCTATGCTTAAAGGAATTCTACCCTCAGGAGTTTACCGTTTGCACATTTTGCTTTATGTACCTCCTAAGGAACGCATGCCTTGACAAACAGCTGATATAGCCCCTTCATTTCAAATTCCTTTTTCCAAAGCCGAACACGTATCATGTGCAGCCTCATGAGGAAGGGTTGTGTGGGAGAAAGTAAGTGCAGGAAATGAGCTTAGTAATTTTCATTTATTAAATACAGGTATATTGCCCTGTTGGGGGCCTGTCAGATTTATTTTATAGGACAGAATGTGATTTCTAGTCTCATTTTAGATACAAACCTCCCAGGAGAAATGCATCAGAGCTGCGTCTTTCTCTCACTGGTTTAACAGATGTCTAGCAGCTGTTGGGTCTGTTTGATCACCTTGGGGGTCTGTGCTTTGCCGTATATGGATGCAGCCCGAGATCGATTTGGTTCTTCAGAGGAGCTTAGTAGATTTCCCCAAACCTCTTTGAAGAAATGGGATTCATCACTTCTAGTTTAAAAGTTATATTTTAAAGATTCGAGAAGTGCCTTACTAAGTATATGCCTCTAGAAAACAAAGAAAAGATGAACTTTTAGAATGATTATAGCATTTTATCCTTACAGCTAGCTAGTATCTGTGTCTGTCTTCTGACATTTCACCGTTTCCTCCTTAAGCAGGACAAGTCCACCTTTCTCTAAGCCCTGGCGCTGTTTTCATAGGCAAGCATTGTTTCTATGACAACAACATTAACTCAAAGTCATCTTTCCACAGTTCATTAAACAGCATGGCTTACTTGAGGATATTTATGGTTCTTGTGTATCTGTTGATTGTGAAAGTTAGTCTGTGAAGGTATGGTAAAACTAACATTGTCAGTATCTCACTTGAAACCCTTTTATGTTGGTGTATCTTTCAGTTTTCAGCATGCTACAGTGAGAGGCTTTGGTTCTGCTCTAGTGTGCATATCAGTGTTATTTGCTTGTAACTTACATGAGAATTACAGAGGTCAGGTTACTCATGAACAAAGTAGGTGCCTTTGCGAGTTCAGCTCCAGCTCTTTAACTTGAAAGCCATAGGCTGTATTTCTTATCCTTAGTCTTCTTTAGATTATGCAATTCAGGGGGTTTAAATTAATTTGCTATAGAAAAAAAATCAATAAGGGACATATAATAGTTGTGTGAGAAATAATTATAGGAATTTGGGTGTTTTTTTTAGAGAAGGTTTGAGAGACAGGCCCTGTAAAAGGCTACCCTATTGAGGAGTAGCATAATTTGTTCTGTATGATTTAAGGTCCGTGAGCATTCAGTAAGTCGTCAAGACTCTACTCAGCATCACTTATCTGGAAAAGCGTTCCTTGACAGCTTCCCTTCCTCTACCTATGTCATACCTCACTGAGTTGCCTTCCTCTCAATTCCCACCTTTGTTCCATATCAATTGATAATTGCATTTAGCATTTTTTTAAAAATTAAAAACATCTGCTCTGTCTCTCTAGGCATGTAGGGCCTTGAGAGAAGTGAGGAGAATGCTATACTTATGTTTGTGTACCCAAAGTTTGAAATATGGACTAAATTGCCTATAACTATCAAAACCAGCATAATAGATGGATGTTTCAGAGAAAGAGAGAGAAAGAGATAGAGAGAGAGAGGGAGAGAGAGAAAGGGAGATAGAAAGAGAGAGAGAGATACTGACTTCAGGCCAAACTAATGAAGGACCTCATTGAATCAGCTATATATTCAAAAAACCTTAACAATTGTCTCCTAAAGTCTGAGCTAAAAGCAAGAAATGAAATAGTGAAGAAAACAGCCCTAGACTCTCCCCTCAGGGAGCTTACTGCATCATTTTTGGAGACATGTATTAGCAAATAACAACATACACATATATTCATATGAAAAATAATATAATAATACTATATAATAGAGAGGTGATATGAAAATTGACCCTCATGCCATCACAAGATGGCTGCGCCCACAGCAGAGGCAGGATTCCCGGGGATTCCAGTAATGAGCTGCAATGAGAGATCAGCAGGGACCTGAGGCTGTGTGGTGCTGGGCTGGGGAGGATGTGCTCCCCACCCTGCCCTGGGGGGCTTGATGGGGAACTTCAGGCCATGCCTCCTACACCAGTGCTGGGCCAGGGGAACCTCAGGCCACGCCCCCACCCCAGCACCAGGCTGGGGCACCTGAGGGTGCGCCAGGGGAACTGAGGCTGCACCCTCACACCTGACAGGACTTGATGGGGAATCTGAGGCTATGCCTCCTCCACCCCAGGCTCTGGGTCACAGGAAGGCTTGACAGGGTTGGGGCCGGCCAGGTCTGGATCACTGCCAATGGGGGTGGGGCCGGCTGGATTTGGGTCTCAGACTCTGACAGGAGGAAGATTTTCATATATATTTTACTAATTTTCTTTATAGAAAAAGGGAAAATAGGAATATTAAAATATTTTCTCTAATTAATTCCTTTTTAATGTGCATGAGTTTTGTGTACTGGGCCACTAGTAAATATATAATAGCATATTAAACTGATAGTATATAATGATATATATTATATAGTAGTATATAATATGTAATTGTTTCACACACTCATAACTATAAACCTACTTTTGCCCACCCTGTATATGTTACACATATATGGATAATATTTTAATAACTATAGCTTCTGTGAGTAAGAGCTCTAATCTGGTATATATTAGAGCAAGAGTAAATGACAGCTTGTCAGAAAATATAGCACCTACCATATTTAAATGAGAGATCCAGGATTGGGCAAGATTTGTATTCTCAAACCGGGCTAGAAGT